CCATAAGGTTCAATGTAATTACCGTTCGCCCGTCCCGGCGCCCGCGGACCACGCGACAAGGGCGGAAAAAGGGCCGGGGACGCCGCGGTAGGGCAGAAAAACGGCCGCGGACCACGTGGCACGGGTGGAAAAACGGCCGCGGACCACGTGGCACGGGCGGAAAAATGGCCACGGACCACGTGGCACAGGCGGAAAATGGGCGCGGACCACGTGGCACGGGCGGAAAAACGGCTGCGGACCACATGGCACGGGCGGAAAATGGCCGTGGACCACGTGTCATGGCGGAAAATGGCCCCGGATCCGGTTCGTACCCCGAGGCGGAGTTCGCAAACCGAGGTAAATTTTTGCGAGCGGAGCTGGTCGCAACCCGAAAAGTTTGTAAGCAGAGGTGTTCGTAACCCAAGGTACCACTGTACTGTATTAGGTTCCAAATACAGCCTGCAAATATTCCACCTGGCCACTAGATGGCGCCATACGGCTAGAGTTGTCTTTATTCCTTCCAGCCATCTAGCGTTTATCCAAATTTTTGCACCCCAGAACTGGAACCCCTACTTTATCTGGCACTCGGAGCTTTTAGGCTTTCTAGTCACATGGAGTCTGTTCACACCAATGATCATGCAAAGCCTCGTTTTCTATATGTGAATGTACTACAAGGTACCTGACATTACAGGGACCTATCTTTGCTTTAATGCAAATACTATGAATTTAACAAATGGACCCAGATTCAGATTTGTCATGCTATCTAAATAATTGGAAAACTGCAGAATAATATTGCAGGGACTGTTTTTTAAATATGGATTGTCTGTTATATAGAACAAACAGTTTATATAAAAAGACTAATCTATGCAGCCTTACTGAAACTTATATCTTTTCAAGCTAACTTTTATTGCAAGTTGAGCTTGTAAAATACTGTATAGCAGAAAATTCAGCTACAGTAAATTTAAAATGTGCAAATATTAAAAGAAACATTTTCCAACTTACCACTGCCAAACAAAAAGTTCTAAAATTCTTCCTGCAATATAATGTCTCCAAAATGGTGTCATTCAATCTTCCTCATTTTATTTATTTATTTGCAAGATTTAGAGGTTATCTGATTCCAGAACAACTCTGGGCATCTTACATTAAAAATAGTAAACAATAAAAAGAAAATTCTACGTATCTATATAAGTTTGACTTTTTCCCTGGCTGCAAATGGGCATTGAGAAGGATTTGCCCTGGCCTACTGAGGGACTTCATAGCCATTTAAATGGTGGCCGCCCACAGAGAATGGAAGACACTTGAACAAATATGGCATCTGGTTATAGGAATATCCTGGATATTTCACTGTAGGAGGTTTGCAGTTTGAGTTAGCACTCTGGGAAAAAAGCTGTTATTCCAATGCTTGTCTATATCAACGGAGGCCTAATGCAGGTTTATAAACAGTGATGTGATAAAGAGTGAAGTGATGTTTTACCTCCAAACCTGATTGCTGCTGACTTTAGAGTTAAAGCTTTGGCCCCTTCTGAAACCTCAGGCATCTATATTGCTGGCTACCACAAGAAGAATCCTCCTCGGAATCTGAACTCTCAGATCATGAGGGCTATATTTTCATGTTTGGAAGGAATAAAATGGGTTACTCTATCCCCAGAATTGGATGGCCTGGATTTCATCAGACTCTGAAAACCTTGCTTGATTCTTTACCTTGGTAAAATGATAGGTGTGTCTATAAAATACATGCACTGAAATTGAAGTGACTTAGTCATTATTAATTTGTCCCCTGTATTTCAATGGGTTATTTTAAATTTAGATTAGATACAAAGATGAGTATTACTATGATTTGCCTGTATGTTTCATATTAACTAATCATAGTAATTTTTAAATTATGGTGAACTTTCACTATTCCGATGTTTCAAGTCTTCAGCATCAGAAGACATAGTCTTATTTCACTGTATTTTAGTAATTGTCTGAATGAGCTTCCCTTAGCATTCTCTGTCTTTGTAAGGGAAAGCCCCTGTGAAGTACTGGTTGCCATAGTGGGCCAGGAAAATCCAGATCTGTGGTATCTCTCGGGAGTGAGATGGTGGGACTAATGGAAGGGGCATTGCAATGTTGCAACACAAACTCTGCTTATTTTCTACATCTGTCACACAGCCCAAGCAGTTAGAGCTTTCAGCAGAACATCATGATGCTGTTTTTGTCCTATTGATGAAAGCAACAAGCTCCTAGAGACACCTGATCCAGATTCAGTTATCCTTTAAGCTTGATGTCAACAACTGATTTTAGGACAACAAAGATTCACAGCCTAGTTTATATTACAGTATTGTGGAAATTTAAAAAAAAAAGATGAGGGGAAACTATGCATATTGATTCGTTCTGTGAGGAAAAGATAGAATGTAAGTCTAATAAATAAGATTCTAAGGAAAACCCATAGGAAATGCCTTATGCTCACGGCACAAAAAGTGTATTACTATATTCTGTCTGTTTGTGCCTACCATTTCAGAACACATTCTCTCAAACAAGTAGAAAGAAAATTAAGCCAGATAAATAAGAAGATCAAGTGGGGAAAGGTAACATTAAGCAGCCCTTGGGGGAAGGAAAAGAATAAAGATAAGCTTAATCTCATTGTAATTCATGCTGATTTGTTGAACAGTTCCCTTCATTCCAAAGGAGAACAGTGATGGAAGATGATACATATGGGACTGCCCTACAATTTTATATTTCAGGAAATACTTCCCAATTAATTTCATCTTCAGTGACATTTTCAAAACTAAAAATCTCCTCAGGATATATTACTGCAACTAATAGCTGCATCCATAAGAATGAAAGATCAAAGGTGTTTATCTCCTTTTTCATAAAAGAGAAAATGTGTTTTTTCCACTTTGCTCTGGACACTCATGACAAACTAAATATAATTTGGTAGCAAATGGTCTAGAAGAATCTCAGAATAACCCCTTCAGGTTTTTCTCTTACAGTTTACAATATATGCATGCAAAACAATAACTACAGGACTATGATAGGTGTTGTTGTTGCTTTTGTATTGTACTACAAAGACAAATATCAGCAATGTTGTGGTCCTAGTCCCCCCAGACAGGCACACAACAGATAGACAGCAGAATGAGCTGTCCCATTATCTTCTTTGCACACTCCCCTGCACACCCAAAAGCAGTGGCAAAACTTAAAAGAGAAAAGGACGTAGATTGTGGGAAGACTCGACGGTCTATGTGATTGTGGAGCCCCTCTTCCCTTTGTCAAAGAAGGGGGGAAAGAGGAGATAGTGCTATTTCCTCTTGATTATTTGTATTATTATTTGATCTGACAAATATTCCCCCTTTTAAAATAAGAGAGATGTTTACTTTCATCCATTTTAAAATGGAGATTCAATCCCATTACTGTATTGACCCGAAGTTCACAATAATAACTCTGCTCATTTAGACAGAAATTCCAGCAGCATCATTCCAAATAGCCATAATTGCCAGCAGAAATTCTCATCATCATCATTATTATTATCTATAGCATAGTTATCATTTTCTTTCAAAAAGCCATTAAGTTCTAAACCAGCCAAAACTAAACATTTTTAAATTTTATCAGTTTCAGTGCAATACCTTGGGGCTGGAAACTCTAAATTTTGTCTTGAGTTACATTTCTTGTATATTAATTGTATGATGATATTTCCTCTCAATACTTCCCCAGTACATGCCTTCCCAACTTACTCTGTTTTCGGGACTTCTTTTCTCAGCCAGTAGAAATCAGATTGGGCCACATGTCTGCGAGTTTGAAGTACATTGCCAAAATAGTCTGTTTCTGAAAACTTCATCTGGAAATAAATATAAGGATTATGCTAGTATAATTAAAAGATTAAAACAGAAAGAATAAAGATGAACAACTTTAATGCTAGACAAGTGAAATATCCAGAATTTAAATGTTCTGAAGAAGAATGTATGTATAATTCTTCTTCTTCCTCCTCCTCCTCCTCTTCTTCTTCTCCTCTTCCTCCTCCTTCTCCTTCTCCTTCTTTCATCATCATCATCATCTCTTTTTTTATTATCATCCAAAACCAGTACAACGTAAATTAACAACCCAGGTACAATCCAAAATATAATAGCATTACAACCATTTACATTTGTATTAAATGACATAATTAAATGAAACTAATATATGGAGCAATTAAAAAGGTGATTTCAAGACACCTTTAAAAAAAAGATTCAAGGTAACATTGATTGGGGTGGCTGGGCAGTCTTTCCATTAGAGGGCAAATTAATGAAAAGTGCAGCTCCACGTAGTTCCTACATCTTAGAAAACCACCTTCCAGAATTTTGAATTTGCCAGAGGCACAAGGGCATTGCCTAAGTGTTTAAGAGATTCCTTTGTATCTGCTATCCATAACTGCAGAAAGGAAGGCATTAAAATGTGCTTTGAAAAAGGCCCATTGGTAAGTGTATAGGGTAACTTAAATAATATGCATATTGTAGTTCCCTTGATTCACTGAGGTGACAATATAACCTTAGGGCTGCTGCTAAATTATGCTAAAGTTCCATATATTATGATATTTCTTCAAAAAGTCCCGTTTTGTATTTAAAAGGAAATCAGAGAACATGCCATGTTGAAAAAGTTTGTAGATATTGCTATATATCATCTAGTTTGTATAATTATCATATACTAGGAGTGGCAAAAGCTGCATGAAAGATTCTGACCCAATAAGATATGATTAGTTCCCAACTCTTGTTTCAATGCAGCCAGCCTCTAGTCTAAGTACAGCACTGGACACACTTCTAGGTGTAGAGAATATAGCTCTCAGAAAGTATGATTTTATCCTTTCATATGATTAGAGTTTTATGCTGGGGTATAGTTGCACACACCATAAAGAAACTGTGCTACCAATTTTGCAACAAGTAGTCTTATGGCAGCAGGTATAATATGCTCACCCTCGTTCCTAAAAAAATCTTAGAATGGCTGCCATACTTCCTCAAGGTGTTGTGGTGGTGTGGTCGATATGTTCCATTTGATATCTAGAAGGTTGAAAAACTACCCCTAGATATTTAAAACAACTAACTTGTGCTATCTATGGTTGCCTATCTATGTACCAGTGTAATAGTGTATAAATTTCCCCTATGAATGTTAACATCAAATATATATAGGTTATGTGTCCAATAAACTTTTCTGTGCATTATACAAATTGGAAAGCAATACAATTCTGTTGGAAAACAAGAAAATGCTGTTCTTATGCCACAATGTTTCTATGAAATCCATAAATACAAAATTGCTAGAGTTATTGCTGAGTTATTTTGCAATGAACAGAGTTTTCTTTTTCATTTATATTAGAAAATTAGTGAATATTGCCATTTTAGGAAACCATTCTGAAGCGTAAAAATATAGGCATTTACTAGGAAATTCCATAGACAACAAAGTGATTTTGCCTAACATATGGCACACAAGAAAACTTAACGTATTATTCCACTGTTGCTTCTAGATCTTGGTAAATACCACATGCATTTTGATTATTGTTTATGGTATGCATTTTGATGATGAATTGTGTAAAAAAAACTGGAAGAGCAAGTGTACTTTAAAATCCCTTTCTTGGGGTTTTTATGAGGAAAGAGTTAATAATCTTGACACCTGAATGAAAATTAAATGATACTTTTAAACATGAGATATTTGGAACCAAAAAGCAAATAACTCCCAAACATAAAATTGATCTTCTCTTGAAATTTAAATGCTTCCATCAGCTAAATTTTAATGTATTTATTTTCAAATTATGCCCTTTAAGGGCTAATAAATATTTTACCAGATCGAGGAGATGACTACAAAATATGACTGCGGGCAAGTTCAAAGAAAGTAGAAATAAGATAAGGTCACAGTTTCAAACTCAGACCGTGCAAGTAGTATCAACAGTTTAGTACAATTTTCAGAATTCCCAGAAACTGCTTCAAATCACAGGCAATTATCTCTTCATAAAATCCTTACACCAAAACCTACTTATTTCATTGACCTACGAAAGATGTTAAACTAAAAGACATCTTGCAAAGATGTTTATGCAAAACTAGTCCCAAGCAATTTCTACTATTCTGAATGACATATGAAAGTACATATTTTATTGAAAAACATTGTTAAATACATAAGAAATAGAAGTATAAAAATATTTAAGAGAGCTAAGGCCAGATGAACACTTCAGTGCACACTTTCTTTCAAGGAACAACTTGGAAATTATGAACTTAATGCTCCACTTGTCTGCCAGTCAAAACTCTCTCTGCATTATTTATCCCAGCTTTGACTTCTATCTAGTCTCACCAGTTCTTGCTAAAACAATTGTCAGCAACAGTGTAAAGTACTAGCAATTGTCTTAGTACTGTTTACATTAGGGTGTTAGAAGCCCCTAATCTTAGAAGACTGAATTATGATCTCCTTAGTGATGTTGTTTGGTTGACTGAACTTTGGCTTCTCCTTATGAAACATTAAGTGCCCAGTAGCCTGATGATCCTATGAAGTCTGGTGACCCAATAAAGCTCAAATGGATGTATTTGGCTTAATGTCAATCCTCTCTGCTAGGTGCCCTGATTCTTCTTTTTTTTTCAGTGAAGGTACATGTTATTTGTAGCATCTGGTTTTCTGCCTTTCATTCTATAAAAGTTTACAGACTTTTAATGATTTTATTTATATCTATTTTATCTGTTTCTCTTCAGGTATTTTTAATTTGGCCATTTATAAAAGTTTCGTTTTTCTTTGCCTTACCTGTGGATTGGCAGACCACAGGTCTAAAATATTAAGCTATACAGGTGTATGAGTATATAGAAAATCAATTTCTCTATCTGTTTCTTCTTCTCATGATGAAGGTGCATTTCACAACATTGTGATGGATCGTTGCTTCTAATCTTCTAGTCGCCAACTGACTACTAGGTATGAGTTTTAGACCTACAAAGATTGTATCAGTTATCTACACTAGGCTCTATCTGTCTGGCTGAAAAGGTAATTTTGATCTTTTATTAAGCATCTTTTTATTAGTTATTAATCCTTTCTACTAAATTATACCGTTAGAATATACCTGTGCTTCCTTTTGTAAAATGCTGCCAGTTTCCTAGGTGGAAAAGCAGAACCTTCCAACCTAACTGTGGTCAATATATTCTGTTCATCAGAAAGAGGAACATTTTTTTCTCTTCTGAATGTTCCATGCTTATCATAAACACCGTTATTTTTAAAACGATCACAAACATTGCTATAGCATTAACTTTTGTGACAGATTTTGGATGTGTTATTGATGGGTATATCAGCATCCCTTCAAGAAGCAGTCTAGGTTCATCATACCTGTCAGGCAACACTGACTGGAGGAGTTGCATGTATGCATATCTTTCGTTTGTGACGATTTGTAACAGGAAGCTTAAGATTCATTCATCTTACAGCATATGAGCTTAGAATAAGCTATATGTTAAACAATAGGGTTTTAATAAAGTTATCTGCATTGTTTATTCATGTTTGTCCTGCTGTATGTGGTAGCTAGGGCTGGCAAGGAAGGAACAAGAAGCCCCGGACCAAACAGGGATTGGTATATAAACACAGCACATGTGCTACGCACAACTCAGTCTAACAAACCAGCAGGCAGTCCTTTGAGGAGGGATGGGACATTTGTATGAGTAACAAGGAGGGAAAGAGCAATAGAAACATCTGAATGGGGAAAACATTTGTCAGCTTCACTTGATGAAGAATTAGAAATGGAAGGAAGTCCACAGTGTCCTCCAGTTTCCCACAATCAGAGGGATGGAGAAGAAGATGCACCTAGAACCTCCAGATGCACCTAGAACCTCCCCTTCAGAGGGAAAGGGGAAGAAAAAAAATAGAGAAGGGCTTAAGATGAAGAGATAAAAACCAGTGATATTCAAGCCAGAATGAACCATTATTTAAACACTGAGCATGCATCTGACTCTCAAGGCTAGGAAAAGAAAAGTGAAAAGTCTGCTGATTTGAAAACGTAAGAGTCAAAAGCCTGGAATTTAAAAACTGGTGTAGACATATATAGGGCACTTGAATTCTCTGTTCTGCAGTAGGCAAATTTTGGGGTGTATATATAATATCTATCTTTTCTGCAAAAAAGCACCTTATCTAGTTGTGCTGTCTGTGAGGCTTTTGCTATAGCAAGTTTTTTAATGTGGAATTGAAAATCTGGAGTAACGATATTTATTGGTATGAAATCTGACAGTATGGCATATTTGGAGCTCCATTTTTCTTTTTACTTTACTGAATATTTAGCAATTTAGTAGTAGAGTTATGATTCAGAAGTGGATTACAACTGCCATTAATTTGCTCCAGCACCACCATTGACAATAATCACTGTTTTGTGTTGAAGATAGCTACTGCATGTATTGCAAAACAAACAGCTAAAGATGTGGTTTACACTTCTCTTCAGAGATTAAATACAGCTTGGGATACTTACTCATCATCATTTGTTTCAATTAAAAAAACTTTGTTCTCCTGAGAGGTGATGATGCTTAACAAAAGATGTCATGTAAATAATGTGGGCAGTTAAGTGGAACTCAAGAAATGTGCAAAGAAAACTTTATAACTAAAGACATACACAAATGAAGCTCTTAGAAGTTAATACCCCTTTACTTCCAGTGGGAATTAGATGTATGCATGGTATTAATATATCCTGAAATCATTACTGTTTGAGGACACAATTTCACTGTACCCTGTTTTTGTTTGTTTATTTGTAACACATTATTTCATATAGTGGATAACTTTTCTGGCTATTTAGTAAGATAAGGAATCCTTTAAAACGATCATACTCTTTATCTCTCTCTCTCTCTCTATACACACACACACACACTGTGTGTGTATGTATGTATGTATGTATGTATGTATATGGAATCCTTAAAAATTATCGTCTGTCTGTCTGTCTGTCTGTCTGTCTGTCTATCTATCTATCTATCTATCTATCTATCTACCTACCTACCTACCTACCTACCTTGCAAACTTCTAAATATTCTGAATGACATATATGTAACTCATAAACTAAGAAGGGGTGTATGTGTGTGTGTGTGCTGACTTTGCATAAGTTTACATGCATATATTATTTCATTGCACTTGTGGCAGTGAAAATTTGGTGACAGATTGCCAAAATTAATGAAATTGTGGCATTATGGATGCCACTTTGGTGACCTCTGAATAAACTTGATTAGTGCATTGGCTGCAGGAATAGCCCATTCCCATCCTTTCTTCCTTTCAAGAATTGTAAGCAGGATCTTCTCCATAACTCTAGTCTGTGAGAAGGTCATTATTCCTTTATTTCCAGGGAGAACCAGACATAGATGTGACAAAATAACTATTTTGAATCAAACCTGAAGCTCATGAAATTCCTTGGGGAAGGACAGAATTATATCAACAAGGCCCCACTGGACAGATGGACTTTATAGTGTCCCTAGCCATTTCCTGAAGTGCCTAAGAAAGGAGAAAGCCACCGTTTAATTCACTACATTCTTATTCTACTGCCAAAAAGCTTATCAGTAAAGTTTGACACAGGACAGAGACAAGCATGAGATAAGGAAGATAGGCTGCATAAGGGAAAGAAGGGTCTGTAATAGGAGGATGGTAGTGTATAGCATAGACTTTTGGCATTTATACTTAAAAAACATTTTCTCTCTATATCATCTATTCTAGTTAAATCTTGAATATTCTATAAGATGAATGAGCTTATGAACATAGATGTATTTGTTCTGCTTGTGATTTATAACATAGCAATAATTGCAGCAAGTAATAACTGAAAATAATAAAAACAAAACTTACTGTTTTGATGCCTTCTATAATATATGTATCATTCATTATAAATCCGGGGTAACCCACTTTTGCCAAAACTGCTTTTGCCTTCAGAAAAAAAGGATAAACATAACAGTGACAAGGATGGTCATTTAAAGTAAATTTTAAATCATATTGTAACCTTAGTTCCTCTCATGATTGTTGTTAGCTTTGAAATCAGGAAATCTGTATTTCACTTTTCTGCAAAGAACAGAAAATGCCATAACTCTCGGTATACTGTTTATCTACAATAAAATATACAAAACACCTGTTATTTTTCCAGACAACATTGTAGTTCATGTCCAACACAACTGGAGAGATCCAGGTGGGAGACGATGTTTGGATCTTTCCATTAAAAATATTTAGTTGTCACTTATGGCAAATGTTGCTCATAAACACCAGTGTTCCAGCTCTGAAAGAGCCCTGGAAAAGGTGTTCTGGGGGCCGGGAGGCATTCCCCAGCCTACACTCCTCACTGCCCATCCCACAGTGCTGCTCCCTCGCTTTAATCTGACCCAAAACCTTTCCTTTGCCTATGCAGCTGTGCAAAATATTTTACAGTGTACTCTTTCTTCTCAACTATGGGACTCCAGATTTGGCCTTGTAATGCCTCTGTTCAGCAGTTACTTTTTCTTTCCAAAAAGATAGCAATATATACACCATGATTAAGGCTTCTGTGGTAGGCAAGTTTTTAAATATATCTACAGATTGTTCACATCTAGACTTCCTATACTAGGGGGGAAACATTGTTATGATGTCTAATTTAACCAGATTGTAAGAACTTTATTTCATGTACAACTGTAACATATAAAACAAGCAAAGCCATCTGAAAACCCTTCAAATTATAATGTATTGGAATGAATGTATTATCTAGAGAAGAGTTCAGTAAATGAAATTATTTGTCTATTCATCTCCTAAGTTACATAATATTTTGTTCATATTGAGCAGGGCACAAGCATGGTATTCCATTTACCTTTGGGAAAACATAATTGTCTCCCTCTGTCAGAAGAAAAGGAGATACTTCCTATATTTATACAGTACTGTGCTAAGCAATTTTTCCAGGTCTATGTTTAACCAGTCTTCTGTTTGTGCCAGAAAAAGAAACATTACTCCAAGTATCAGAGTCCCTGGATTTTGATGCAGAACCCAGGTGGCCCTTTGCCCCTGTGCCCTGATATAGAAGTTACCTGTGGCCAGATTCGCCTTCTCTAAAGCGTAAATTGAATCAGCTTACGTTACTGGGGAGTCAACAAGGAGGACCATATCTGAACTAATAACCAGGAAGAATTTTCTGAGTGGGTGGAGGGCTGCTGCTATCCTGTATCATCCAGATTTTTTTAGCTCAGATATTATACCCTCAGAGTAAACGTAAATTAGACAGAAGCCAAGTTTCTGTAGCAACCAGTCCACTGGGATTCATAGTGCTTGATATTTATAAGGAAGTATACTACAAATATGTGGAGATAAGGGTAAAATTCATTGTTCTTTTACTTCTTTGGGGGGATTTTCCATTTCTCATTTATTGGCTAAGAGACAATGCTCATAAAGATCAAGTTATAAAAGAAATGTTGCCATTCAGTTCCTGAAAGTTCCTCAGCTTCCTAGCCCACAGGCCAACTTTTCTATTATGCAGACTAAAGTAGTAACTCTTGGCAAATAATCTTGAATGTCATGATACACACACACTGTAAATGATTTAAATGAATCTTAACATGAATATCTTACCACCTGGAAAAAGAAAAATCCTGGGTATGTTGTCTTACACGCAGAATAATCTGACCTCATGGGTATTATAGCAATACTCCTTCACTTGGATGGCTGCCCTTAGCTACTCCCTCTGGCAATATATTCTATTAGGCCAATCTTGCTAACCCCAGGTATTTATTTGTCACCTGTGGAAATATCTTGACATTACAATTAATTGAGATAATTAATACGTGACATCCTGCAGAAAACAGGTGGGAAATTAACAGCAGGAGTAGCAGAAACAGATGAATCCTTAAGCAAGACAGATCCCATTGTCATGCAAATGTCTTCAGTGACAGAAAAACAATAGAAGACAAATGCTATGCAGAACAAAATAGGAAATGAAGTAAATAACAAGAGAGAATATTTGTTCTTAGTTTTCCAAAAGGGGCATGAGAGCCTCATGAGTTGTTATTATTTTCAAGAAAACCAATATACTGTATTATTGTTTGGTATATGCCTGATTGACACTGTGTAATTAATACTAGGTTAAAATACCTGAATGTTCTCTCTTCTTATATTCAGCTCAGAAAGGCAAGAGGGGGAAAATGCTGAAATTTCTGCTGAGCTGGTTTCTTAAATGACCTAGATAAGTCATAGAGGTCTTGCATGTCTTCCAAAGTAATCATTTTAATCAACTAAGCAACTTTGTGTTGCATCCACGCCTTTTAACATATTAAGCAAACAGAAAGATCATAATTTATAACAGCTGATAAACTGTGACCTTTAAAGAAAACACCTACTCATTTTGCAGCATGATTAATTATTCAGTAGCTTTGAAAATAATGAATGTGGATGAACTGGCCCAATCTAGTGGATGATTTACGAGTGCACAATCATTGTAAATATTGATCAAATGCCAATGCTAAAGATATTTCAAATCAGAACAAGGCTGTAGAACATTGTCTGAAGCTGGGGGTGGTGGTGTTAAAATATGATTAATTGATCATCAAAAGGAAGCATTATTGTCTCATTTTATTTCAACAAAATACATCCATATTTATTAATTCCTATGCTTCCTGGGTGGGTCCAGGAACTGAGTCTTCTCTTAATCCACGAAGAGCAGCAATCATTATAGAATGACTGAAGAAAATAGTAGATAAGACAGATAGCATGTTCCTATGCTTGGGGGACCTTTTTTCATATGTAAATTCTACTTATTCCAATGGTCAATGAATTGTTCATGTGAAATCTAGAAGTGTCACCTAACTGCAAATCCCAGCAACAGAATTAAAAGATGGACTGTTCCTTGGCTCAAACTGACTAACAGGAAGTAATAGGTAGGTAAGAAGTCTCCAAGCAAATGAGAGGGTAGTGTGAAAAAAATACCACGGGGCGGGGCAGGGCAGGCTCTCTCTCAGTTCCTGCCAGTTCCCCTCACTGTCCTTAATGCTAGGGATGACCCTGCTGGGATGTTAGCTACTGGTGGCTTTTGCTTTTATTTTTGCCAAGGTGTCCCTCACACACTTCAACCTGGCACTTCATGCTTGCACCAAGCAGGTGCAAGGAAAATTGGATAACACAAGGTTGCATTTAATTCTGACTACTGACACCAAACTTTCAGAAAGGCAGGAATTTTTCCTGCATGTCTCATCTGTTTGCACAATCGTTTATGATTATATGAAGTTAGTATTTAACTTCTATTTTAAAATCTCTTATTAATCTACAGTAAAAAATTAAAAATACCCATAAAAATAATTTGCTCTTCAGCCATTTTTTCAGTTTGTTTCATGTTCTGGTCTGAAGGCAGTATTTTACACTAAGGAAAGAGGCAAACCCAAAAATTATTTGAAGAACCTCTTTTCAGTTTTATTACAGCTATCAGGCTAAAGTATATGCGGAATTTATTTGTTATCTAACAAACCCATGAAACACTCTGAAGATCTGTAAGATTTTTAACCATTCTCTGTGTCAGTGTGTGATCATAGGAAGAATCCTAACTGGATCTCCTGATTGGTGATCCCACACATCTAGTTTGGCTATCCAGTTTAATAAATAACTATTTATCAAAGAGATTCTTATAAGTATATTTTATATAAAAGGGACGCATGCATTATTATAAATAAGATATATGTCCCAAGTAGAGTAAAAAGGCCTTCATTTAAACTAAACTATATTGAATTTATTATGCCTAATTAAGGGTTGGGTCTTCTATATCACTTTAGGTTGTATACCCAAATCTTGGGCAATAAATAAAAATGAAATGTAATAAATTCCTGTAATGCTTTGAATAATTTTAAGCATTTTTAAATATCTAGTTTTAAAAAAATATGAAAGCTACTGGAAAAAGTAGCATAACATCTGGATTGGAAGCAAGAGTATTTCATAGCAATGTAATGGAGCATTCATTTATACAACAATGAATTTATCTTTGCCTGTATTTTCAGTCTCTCTGAATGCCTTCCTTGAATGTCATCTGCTCAAATACAGTGGTATCTCGGGTCATGAACACTTCTGTTCACGACTAATTCGGGTCATGAACAGCACCGTTCGCAAAATTTTGCTTCCATTCGCGAACACCTGATCGGGTGACGAACAGGATCCGCGGCCATTTTCCCTCCCGTGACACGTGGTCGTGGCTTCCTGTAGGGAGGGGGACTCTCCCTCCAAGCA